CGCGAGATGGCGGCAGCAATGCAGGAACGCAAATTACTTGCCGCCGAAATAAAGATCCCCTATAATGGCCCGGAACAATCCTTTTCTGTCAATGTAGGACCGCAAGAACTTAGGAAAATTCACACTCTATTATATTATTAAGAACCGGCGTTGCTTTATTATTTATTTCGTGATAAAATCTATGCTCACAGAATCCTCACGATGTGTCGTGCATAAGAGAGAGACTTATCTTATTCTAATTTTTTCATGATAGCAATTTTTTTATACTATGTTGCCGTACCCTGTGCTCTAAAAATGAAACGATAATTATATAACGTTGGTATATGAATAACGCGCGGCATATTAAGTAGGCTTTTATACAGAATTTTATCGTATATCTGTGAAAAAGGTACAGGGCAGATCTAGTAATTCGTAATTTGCACTTGTGCAATATTTATTTATTTCCGATGGGCTGCAGCGCGATGACCGGCGCATCGCAGCTGGGAGGCTCTTTTTTTCAGTGTTCATTACGTTTATAAACGCAATGTTATTTAGTATTAACAATACGGAAGAAAAAAATCATGTATATATATATATGCCTTTAAGAATTGTCAAATATATGGTCTAAAAATATTTACATAAATGTTTTGTATGTATGTACACCCTAAACAGTGATGGTATCACAATAATAGAAAGTGATGTGGTCTTGTAGAGCGGGTTGTACGCCCTACCTTGACCAAATATCATATACTTTCACTGTTGCTATATGTTATATACAACAGCCGAATTTCGTAAATCATCAGCAAGATTAACATTTAATGAAACAGAAATTTATAATACAATATTTCAGTTTGTTTTATTTGTAGAGATAAAAGGAGCAGTAAACCGTTGATGTATTTCCTCAAATATTTATGAAATAAGGTATGCCTTAATTACTGTCACAATTTTATTATACATACAGACATGTATATGTGCATATGTATATACATTTTGCGATACATCCAATGCATGTGTATATATATACCCACATACACATAGCGGATAGTACTTAAGTGCATATATCGTTAGTTATTTCATTAACTTACTCGCTCATTCATTCTCACATGGTGATACGCACTTTTACACTTTCATTTATCCCCTTCATAATAATAATAATAATTAACCACGCATTCAATCGAGGATGTGGTTATTGGTTATATCTTTTCCATATTTTCAAATGTCCACCAGGCAGCAATAATCCGCGTCTTCGGATATAATAAGCTTTAAGATTTCAGTTGAATTTATCATTGCAATCGTACTTAAAGCTGACCGGACGACTGGTAGTACCTTCCACGACGAGGACGTGTAACGCACGCTAGTATTATTTATTAAGGGTGTATGATTATAACATTTTTTTGGAAACTAATGCTCGCAGAACATGGACGAAGAGTTTAGCAACTATAGAACGAATAATACAACTAAAATCTTAAATGATATGAATAGAAACAATAGTTCTTTAGCAATTGCCGATATCAATAAGTATTTCTGACTGTTTCGAGGCAACTTCTCTCGGTATGTATGTGTATGCATGTACGAAAAACGTTGGTCATGATGAAATATATGAAGTCCTTTAAAGTGTATACAAAATATTAAACTTAATCTTGAAGCAACAGCACGTGAAATAGCTACTGCACAGTCTCGGCTATTAAAACTATATACGGAAGAATTATCCAGCTAGAACCTCAGTTACAGGAATACTTTCCGAATAAGATAACTTTTTAAAACATTATCTAAATGAAAGTAAGCTTGTAACTACTTCCCCATTATTCAAAATTTCTTCTTTTCTTCTTCTTCAACGATTTTTTTACTTCTGCGACTCATAATAAACATATTCACAGACAGAAAGAGAGTAAATCGAGGGATATTTCTACAATAGAATCGTTAGTCGTTTGTTCGTTTCTCAATGGAGTACTCGTTACTCAATACAGTACGGTACATACTTAACAATTAAGAGTGTTGCCTTAACATTAAGGTATCTTTAATATTACTTTAACTTGTCAATATTATATCGGAGAGAGACGTAATCGTTCATTTATATAAAAAAAAATTATTTCGGTTAAAAAAACGTACCAAAAGTGTGCAATGGTAGAATACTTTTGATACACTATTGACATATTATCCTTGATAAGAAAAATATTAACACTTTCTCAACATTCCACATACTCTAGTATGATCACACTATATATTGAAGACAAAACAAAATTTAGGAAGCAGAATATCAGTTTACCACAGTAGTACTCATACTTTCACAAAAACACTCACATATTTTTCTGTGAATCTCTCTTTTCTTGTTTATAGAATAGATATAAAATTTTAAACCACACGCTCCGCAGATTAACGCGAGCATCCGAGAATGGTCTGAACATCCTCTCTTTCTCTCCATGAAAGTTGCACATTTTCGCGAATTAAATAACCCATTCAAGCCCAGTATATGTTTACTCCCTTACAATTTTCCTCAGGGCAACAAAATCTTTATTTTTAATGATTACCAACGGTAAATTAAATACGTAATAACAAAATAAGAACAAGCCACTTTTTAGCTGGCTGGTCTCTCACTCGGATTGCAAAATCCAAAAAGTTCAATCAGCCGAAACTCTAAGTTGCCAACTCTAAGTTACAACATCTCATACGATTCAGTAAATGTGTGATACAACTATGCTCCTCTTGTCGCACATACGCGAATGCTGGCATTTGTAATTTACATCACGATCTCTCTTTGCATGAAATTAGAGTGTTGACTGATATGACTCTTTGAACGATAACTTCTGTAAGAAATTTGATACCTCACTTTGAAACACTTTAGTGATCGCAATCAAGATTGTTGCTACAATGAAGAGTTATAGTCTTAGCGCGCTCCTGGAACAAATAAAACCGATTTTGAAATTATAGAAAATAATTATATCTTTCTTTAATTCTGCTATAGATAATATGTTTGTGAATGATGCAAATGTAATTTTCCCTTTGTATTGATGTTACTCCGCTTATTTGTATCATATGATAGTAAAATGTACAAATGTGTTACTTATTTTTTTTACTTTTCCTACAATTTCTTGCGTACAATTTTCCAGTATACGCAAGAAACATTACCACTACTGATTTAAAATTCAGTAGAAGATATTTTAAAGTTCACTAATTAAACTAATGATAGACGGAAAGATAATAAACACACAAGTCCTTTAAGTTCGATGCATACAAAATACTAAAAAAAAAATTTAATATTATATTAAATTTAGATACATTGTGCTTCAAATCATTCAACAATATTTTCAAAAAACAAACTCAGGATCTGAAAAATCTAATAATTATGAAAATGCAAATGCCACGAAAATAAGAACATTAAAAGAGAAGTAATGTGAGTCTCCGTAAAAATATGAGAAATTCGTGAAAGTTTCCGTAAATATCTTCGAAAAATTTTGATGTAAGAGAAAATTTTGGCATAGGTTCATATATTCATTATGAGACAGAATTAATCGTTAAGTGAATGTTAATTAGCATATAAGCATACTTATATTTCCATTAGTGTTTCAGTCATTATTATTAGTAAATAGTAAAGAAAATCTTTTCTCCGAAAATTTTTTGCCGGGCCAATTTTCTCATAGGGGAAGAAGGAAAAAGCATTTAAGAAGTTCCAGAGTTATTGCTTCTTGGAAGAATGATTTGTGCCAATCGAAATGTTGAGTTTTGTGGAGGACTCCAACCATCTTTTAAGGTTGAAATTGGCTGTTAAAAAATGATAATTTATATAAACAACATAACCAAAAAATTCCGAGTTAACGACAAGTGATACAGAATAGTAGTTTGGAAAATTTTAATAATTTAGAGTAGATGTAAATGTCCCAGTATCCGGATATGTACCTATGTCTGGACACTTATACAAAATTTATTATTATTAATCTCAAATACTTTTTTTATTACAGTATTATAATTTAATTGCATTTAAAGATTACAATTAAATTATAATATTACGTTTTAAAAAAAGCATATTTGAGACTAATATTAACTTAAATAAATAAAGTGTTAAATGGACATAGGTACATGTCCAGTCACTGGGGATCGGACAGTACCTATGTCCGGACAGTTACAAAAACTTTATTTATATTAATATTAATCTCAAATGTTTTTTTTATCTTAAAGATCAATTTGAATTAGTTGTCTTTTGTCATTAAACATCTATTATTATTTTCCATGAGCATATTAATTTTCCAATTGTGGTCGGACACTGGGACAATTACGGCTCAGTGTCCGACTAGTTTGTCCGGCCACTGGTACAATGACGCATTCTATTATTTATTTAAATATTTAATTAATAATTGTTATAAGTAGGTTCAAATAATTTTTCCTTGCTTAAGGGAATCTTCAGTTTTCAAATGAATACAAATATTTATATTAAAAATCTTTTTGATATTATAAATTGTATTATTTATGAGAACCTAACGCTTAAATGTCCGGCTACTGGGACATTTATCTTATAACCCCATCATGATTGTTATGATCGAATATGAAATGACAACATGAGCTGTACATTAATTGTTAAAGGAATCTATAAACTATACGTGGACATGCTGCGAAAAATTAATTCCAAAAATTTTCATTGCACCTGATTGAGCGGTGGCCTGAGTAGGTGCCTGACCTTGGCCTTGTCCTTGCCCTTGAGCACCTTGAGCACCTTGAGAGAGACCTGGCCCACCTGTTGACACTCCACCGCTAATATTACTACTTGCTGCTTTTTGTTTTAACATCGTCCAATCAAATGTGTAATCATATTGATGGTTCAATGTACGGAAAAGTATGCGGAAAAGTTGGCGTAAATACATGTAGTCCGGGCTTTCTTCAAAGCGTAGACCTCGCGTATAATTTAAATACATTGCAAATTCGGCAGGAAATCCCTAAAAAATGATAATTTTTGTGTTAAAGATGTACATATGATACAAAAACGATAAGGAAATGTTCTTTAAGATACCTTGCATAAGACTTCTACTGGCGTGGACATTTTTTTCTCACTAATTTTCTCATATTTCTGCTTCTTCGTCGCAGCTTTGAGACCTTGCCACGGTAAAGATCCTCGATTAAAGTACATAAGAACATAGCCGAGTGATTCCATGTCGTCGCGACGACTTTGTTCAATTCCAAGATGTGCATTGATAGAAGCATACCTCGCAGTACCTGTTAAATTTTTATCTTCTCGATATATTATATGCAGTCTCGTGCGACTATCTCTATACTTTTTAGCCAATCCAAAATCGATGAGGAATAACTGAAACGTAATTTAGCATTCCGTAATTTAGTATTGGTGTATGGTATTTTATTTCTGATATATTATATTGAAGAAATTACGAAATATTAAAATGCGTACCTTGTTACAATGTCGCCCAATCCCCATTAAAAAATTATCTGGTTTTATATCTCTGTGAATAAAGTGTTTGCAATGAACATACTCAATCCTACCAATCATCTGATCTGCCAACATTAAGACTGTCTTGATTGTAAACCTTCTTGAACAGAAAGTGAAAAGGTCTTCCAGAGATGGCCCAAGAAGATCCATAACAAGAACATTATATTCACGTTCTTGACCATACCTAAAGATAGGAAAATTCTTATCAGTTGGCTGTGTAATCTGGTTCTAACTTTCAATTAATATAATCTCATTGTATAATTTCAGCTTATATAAATCCCGTTGTAATAATTTATTAAAAAATTATTTTATTATTACGTGATAGATATAACAACTAAATATAATACATAAGCAAAGAATTAAATATAATTACCAACGTATGTGTGGTATTCCTATACCACCATGTAATATTTTGTATAGCTTTGATTCATATAGAAGCTGCGGATGTCGGGCTCGCATGTTCTCCAACTTAACAGCAACTTCCTGAAATAAAAACATATTATATGTTATCAAACTGCATTGTAAAGCTTTATCTAACATGGAGATTAAATAAATGCAAATAAATGGAATAATATAATGTTTCAAAATTCACTGCCAGTGCTAAAAAATTATAGTACATAATATAAACTATAAACTTCAGCCCTGGCAGTGAATTTTGGAACACTATGTTATGGTTTCTTTCTTCCTACTATTTTCTGACTTTCCTTTGTTTCTTAAGCATGGTTTGTATTTGTGTTACAGGAATAATAATAGACAGCATTCCAAAAAATTAAAAATATTAGACAAATAGAAGATGAAAAATAAGTCTCTTTTAATAACTGTAAGAACTAAAATGTGTTAAGTTTATGTATAAATTCTTCTTTAACCATATTTTTATCTAGATCCTATTTAAATTCTATCTCCTATTCATTATTATTTATAGTCATTGTGTCATTGTGTGTATCATAGCAGGGTACATTATTGTTCTCATATATTACTTATTATACTATAAGATGTATCATCATATTTAAATAAGTAAAACACAATGTACTAACGATATCATCAAAAAAGAAACAATTTACAAAACAAACGGAACGAGGGTCAATTGCCCCGTCATTGTTTACTTCATTCTTGGCATGATTTTCTTTATCTGTGAAACTGTAATCTGTTAGAAATCCGGAATTAATTGATCAAACTGTGACCATCCATTTAACTTATTGTTAATCCCAATGAGAGTCACAAGAAATTGCATCGCTTTCGCGAATAATTGCTAAATATGTGCGCACTTGGAATTTTAATAATGTTGACAAGCGTCAGCTTATATTTATCTCAACTGCGTCCAAGACGTACATATGTATAACATACGTCATTCGCGATGTATTCGTGACGAGCTTTCCGCGGAATGATCATCGACGGCGGGTGAACTCGCGATGCGAACGGTCCTCGAACCCGTCGGCCACGATCACCACGACGGATCTTGACGACCAGAAGGATGATTCTTCTGTCTCGACATAGATATCGCGATCGACATGTCGCGGCGCCGTTTCGCGTCTCGTTTCATCCAACCTGGGCCACGTTGGACGATAGTCGGCACGAATGATGGAAAGACGCGATTGGGTTTCGCGAGACGAGACGAGTCGAGTCGGGGCCGAGAAACGGGAAACGCGAACGGAGGAAACAGAGCTGGCTGGCTGGCAAGCAGCAGTCCAGCAGTAGGTCGTGCAGGTCGGCCGAGATGGACGCCTGGGGTTGGCTTACCTCGCCATTGGAGATGTTAATGCCGAGATAAATGTCGCCAAAGGAGCCCGAGCCGATCTTCCTCATCAACCTATACTTGCCACCCACGATGAATTCACTCTTCGCTATTGACATCGCCAACGACGCCATGTCACTGCTCACCTCCGTATGTCTTCTCTCTCACCTCCACTCTGCCTGGCTTTACCCTTACGCTACCTTACGCGGGGACCTCTACACGGCGGTGTGGTTTTGCACCTGCCCTCCGTCCTTCTCTTTCTCCCGATGTCTTTCGCTCGATCCCTAACCGTCCCACGATATCTCTCACCCTCTCTCCGTCTCTCTTCCTTGCTGGCTCCCTTTTCTCTCTTTCTCTCTCTTTCTCTCTTTCACGCGCGAAGGTCGAGTCGAATCGAGGGTATGCAAACGACCGTGACGTATGGGGAAGCTTTACGAACCGGATTTCGGTTAGTGAAGGTTACCGGGGCCGCGATAAGGTCGTTCTAATGTATCACGATCGGGCTGTTCACTGGCGGCACGGCAAGCCCCATCGACAGCGCGCCGACATTTTCCCTCTCGCTGTGGGCACGAAGAGCAGCGACTGATGGTTCCCGGAAGCGTGCGTCACCGACCGACGGCGCGGGAGACGGCGGGGGTAAGCCGCACTGCCGCTCAATGGAGTCACTTCAGCTACGCGACGCCGCGCGACGCCCGTACGTAGGCGTCGCGATGATTTCACGCGCGAGATCGGCGATAATCGGTGTGATTTTTTTCGTACGCGATCGCGTCGTGTTTGAGCGTCCGCGTTCCACCGTTCCACGTCTCTCGGAGCACAGCCGCGTGAAGTTGCTCACTTGACACCGCGGTACTTCGAACTCAGGTCCGTAGCGAGGCGGCGCGCAACGCGGGCCCCGAATAACGGGGCCCCGAACGTACCACCGAGACTACATTCCATTTGACGCTCTCAATTCTTTTGGAATAATTTCATCCTGGTTATTTATCAAGTGTCAAACAAGGACAAATGCTCGCGAACGTTGGAACGCAAGACGAATTTTTATTTTTGCCAATTTTGTACTTACAACTGTAATGCGTTAAACAATAAAGTACAATTAATGATTGCGTTCTTCAGCAGAAGAAACAGCCTTTGTAACTGTTATAAGATATTTTGATATGATTGCTTTTTTACCCTTTCACAGTGAAAATTTTTCTCACATTTTTATACGAATTATTGAAACACTTATCAGAAAGTCTAATCTTTTCTCTTAGAAGTTTTCATATACATAAATTCCTGAAATATTCTAAGATTTTTAAGATTTTTAAGATATAAAAAAATCTAAGAAAAATTTTTACCGAAATTGGTTCCTCTCTAAATGGATAAACCAATCGTATATTGAAGAAAAATATTACAAAAGTTACAAAGTTATTTTTTTTCCATTATTTATTTATTTTTTCTATATTATGTATCGGATATTATAAATTTTTATTTTCAACATTATGTATTGAATCAACATCTTTAATATTTATGAAAGCTTCGAGGAACAAATCAACCTCAAGCAGAACAAATCATTGTGATATCAAAATAACTTTAAAATGACCATTAAAAGTCATTTTTCAATCATTTCCGATTCATTTTAATGTCATTTTTACGCTTATTAATGTCATGTTATCGCAACTTGTTGTTCTACTTAGAACTATTCATGGCTGACGCTGTGCAAAACCAACATGAAATTTCAAACGGCGAATGCGAAAGGCTCTAGATGATTTATGTATCTTCGATAAACTCCTCGTAGTTCGGCGATAGGCAAATCCAGAACAATGTGGGTCAAGGGTGTCTCTTTCACATAGCTACGATACTGCCGTACCGGAACCTCGTGCTACTTATCCATATCTTTACAAGCTATTGTTTGAACATTTAAAAATCGTCATCGTCATCGTCGCCATCGGTTACAGAATCGTTCAATCGTGACAACGATAATTTCAGCGCCCCTACGATAATGAAGAAAAACGGAACGATGCACATTTGTTGGGACGAGATTTAAAACGTCGGCGGCGACATCTGGATCATTAACCGACTTCACGCGTGACGGCGGCGCGACGTCAACGACGTGCCACTTTTGGAGTTTCAGTACAGCTGACTTGATACGTGTTCGATAACTTCGACAGTGGATATTCATGGCAAGCGTTTTACTACGAAACGCGTCGCGTTTGGCCAGGCATCTAAAGAGTAGCCGGATAACGCCGAGGACAAATAACGAGAGGTACATGATGACGAGCCGAGCGAGACTCGAAAAGGTTCTGGAGGAATTACAGAGGAATCCCTACTACGACAAGTATGCTCAGAAAATTGCGAAACTGCAGCAGACCAGCCCGGAGGAATTTCTGCAGCGCGTCGAGCAGCAGGAGAAAAAAGTACATGAGAAGCAAGGTATACGATCTTCGCGAGGCTTACAAGGCTGATGTTTCTGTCAACATTGTTTCCTGCAACGATTATCTGTTTATTTTTTGACAATTATAAACTTGATTATAATTTTTGTGTTTAGCAAATGCATTTCTATCTAGATATATTACAGCAAATTCAGTCACTTGCATTATACTAGATTAGTGCTATTGAAAGTCGCTGTACATGAAATTAGCAAAGTTAATGTAAAATATTTTAAATGATTAAATAATGATATTGTTATGTTATTTAATAAAGAATATGTAATATATTATTCCATTGTTAAAGTTGATTATATTATGCCATCTATATTTATATATTTTATATAGACTACTTTCCTTTTAGAAGACACAGTCGATACAAACGTCGTTTTATTCTTAACATTCGACGAATAATAAAGCTAGAATCACACTTGTGTTGACTGTGTGTCTCCTAAAAAAAAAAGTAACCGTAAGTAGCCTTTAATGTGCATTAATCCAATACAGTATGAGTGACTGAATTCATTACTACACATTAATAGCAGAAAATATTTGGATATTATGGTTCTTATGGCATATCAATGCTAAGAATACTAATTTTTACATAAAAAGAATTATTGTTGTGATAAAGGATCAAATCATTGTTGTTAAAGAGAAACATGAGAAAGCTGCGAATTTCTACCAAACTGAGGCAAAACCAGCTTTGGAACCTGGTACACAGACGAAAGAAACACGATTGGATAGCATAATGAAAGTTGATATGATAAAAGATAAGTCGAAAGAGGAGATTATAGAAATATGGAATGAGTACCACAAACAAAAGGATTGTATCTGCGGTACGATGACGCCCGAGCAGTACGATAAAATGTTTGCACGCGGCAAGATGTACTCCACTTTCCTCTTACCATTACCAAGAAAACAAGGCTATGAATTTATAATGTGCCAATTCTATGGTTCAGAAGTACACATGACTCCGCTCTTATGGTACCAGACCCACAAGGAAAATGCATCTGAATGTTTAACTATGATACATTACACTGAATTGAGAGAGGATAAAGGCATTGTACTCATGCGTGGAGAATTTGATACAAAATTATTACAAGTGCAAGAGGCACAATGTCTGGCTAATGAATTGCAGTTATATTATTGCAACGATCATGAACACAGATTACAGTTACTTGAAATGTTTACCAATAAACCCGACGAATTTAAGCACATGGATCTCATAGCTCAATTAGAAACAATATCTTTAGAGTTGAATAATGTTGAGACGAAGAGATAGAAATAAGAAATTATTTAATGTATTGTAACTGTATGTACAAGGAACTAGTAGAAAATATAATAAATATTTTTAAGACGACGAGTCTATATATCATTTTTTTCCATAAATTCATGAAAAATGTTTCTATTCATGAAAAATATTTGTCTATCTTGTAATATCGTGCAACATAAAATGTAGCTTTAATATTACGAAAGATATGCTATTTTGTTTTACTTTTTTGTCTAAAAATTTCTAAATGCTAATTGTTTACATAATAATAATAATAAATTTAAATTTCAGTTAGACATGTAATTGCAAAGCCCTCGAAATTGGCGACATTTCCATTCTTATTAAAAAATGTGCGGTCGTCTTGGAGTCAAACAATAAAGAGGCACTATGTAAAAGATTCATCTCAAAATAAGTACATTACTACGCCAATTTTTTATGTAAATGCTGGTACGTAACTTTTTTTGAATTAAAAATTTCTATCATTAATCTAAATTATTATAATAGGAAAATTATAAATGTATATATTTTATATTAGGTCCTCATATTGGACATTTATATAGTGCAGTTTTGGCCGATGCCATTGTTCGATACAACAATATGTTAGGTCACAAAACATTTTTTACCACTGGCACCGACGAGCACGGTAACAAGATTAAAGCCGCTGCAGCTACAGCTAATCTACCAAATCTCGAGTACTGTACAAGAATTTCGCAGCAATTCAGGGAAATGTGCGATAGGTTTGAAGTGGATTATTCGCGTTTCATCAGAACCACAGAAAAGCAGCATTGTGATGCAGTGTATCATTTTTGGGTTCTTAGAGCAAATTTACTTTTGAATGTCGAATCTTATATATATATTTGTGATATCTTATAACTCACATTAGAAAACTGAACACTTTCAGAAACAATTAGAAGAAAGAGGGCATATCTATCTGGGAAAGTACTCGGGATGGTATTGTGTATCGGACGAAGCATTTCTCTGTGATACAGAATTGGTGGAACAGAAAGATTCGACGGGAAAAGTAATCAAAGTCTCCGCGGAATCGGGAAACATAGTAGAATGGACTGAGGAAGAAAATTACAAGTTCCGACTTAGCGCATTTCAAAACGATCTCAAGTACTGGCTCAAAGATGGTATGAAAAGATGTTGAATCTTAATTTTCATTGGCTGCGCTCAGTAAAGAAAACTGATCAGTGAGTGCTTAGTGATTATTTAATACAGATTGGTGCCTACATTCAGATTCAGCGAGAAACTAAAGATAAGAATCAATTATATTAAAAAATCATTGAGCGCTCACTGATCAGTTTTCTCTGCAGAACGTAATCATTATTTCTCTTCCTTTTACGATTGCAAATTGTAAATTTCAGATCTTTTGTAGAAAACGCAGTTAGACCAGCGCTGTATCACAAAATATTATCCCAGTGGATAGACGAGGGTACATGTTTACAAGACTTAAGCATTACTCGAATCAGAAACAAAATGCCATGGGCTATGCCTTCCCCGTGCGATGAATCTCACTCGATATATGTATGGCTGGATGCCTTAGTAAATTATTTAACGGTCTTAGGATATCCAAATGAATCATACAAAGAACTTTGGCCACCCACTATTCAAGTATGGATCATAATTCTTGGTTAATATTATATGAAAATTGTCAAATTAAAATATGGATTATATCAAAGAAAATTATTGATGTAGATAATTGGAAAAGATATTTTGAAATTTCACGGTATCTATTGGCCAGCATTCTTAATAGCGGCAGGTCTCGAGCCTCCAAAGACGTTACTGTGTCACGCTCATTGGACTGTTGATCATAGAAAAATGTCGAAATCAAAAGGAAATGTAATTTCGCCATTTGAAGCTGCAAATGATTATTCAGAAGAAGGATTGCGGTACTTCATTCTGAGAGAAGCGGTACCACAAAACGACGCAAGTAAGAGAAATCATAAATATTCACTTATTACATATCATTTGCATCAGATCTCTTAAAAATCTATATTTGTAGATTATAGTTCAACAAAAATTGTTAACATATTGAACTCCGAATTGGCGGATACATTGGGCAATCTAGTCAATCGTTGCGTGGGTAAAGTAGTCAATCCATTCAAAGAGTT